TAATTCTGGTCCAGTGCATTTGTTTCTCCACTTCTATCTCTCTGTTTCGTAGAACTTCGCCTGCCTTTTTTCCTTCTCTCCGTAATAAATCTACGCCTTCCTGGCTGAAGTCGCATTTTTTAAAATGGTCCTGTCTTTAAGGTTTTCCTTAATCCCCTTCTCTGCTTTTCTTTCGTTCAAACACTCCTTGACAATGCTTTCTTCTCTATCCCTCTCAATTTTTCTTTCATACTCCATCGCTCTTTTTGCCTGCATTACTTTCATTTTCGTTCTGTTCGCTTCCTCCAATACCATATAATCAGGTGTTCCTCTGTCCTAGCGTCCATTTTATGTACTTTTTGTGTATTCTTTCGAGTTCTCCGATCTCTTTCCATCCCCAGACTTCTACACCATACACCATCACTCCTGTGACCAGGCTGTCAAAAATTTTCATTCTCCTTATGAAGTCGTCCTTGAAAATTCTCTCCCCTATTCCCCAGGTGAGCCTCATCGTCACATTCGCCTTCTTTGCTAGATGTCTTATATGCTTTTACTGTTGCTTTTCAGCACATAGCCTAAGTACGTAAACTCTCTCACTTCCTCAATCGGCTTTCCTTTCCAGTCCGTTTTCCTTCTCTTCCTCCTTCCTCTCCTAAACACCATTATCTTTGACTTTTCCTCATTCAGTTGCAGCTTCTTCTTGTCCAGATACTTTTCTACTCTTTTCATTATCTCCTTCATTTCTTTTTCCTCGTATGCTAGTAAGACGATGTCATCCGCACGTACAGTACGTAAAATCTGCTGTAGCCAAAGAGATAATAAAGTGATTATGAGAAGAAATTGGTACATCACTGGGCTTGACAGTGTATATGTTAATCACATTAGAAAAAATTATGTTCGTACTATTTGTTGTACTCCATACATAAGAGTTTCTTCATACATAGCGAACATTATCAATCAAATGAAATAGCACCATAGCCTCCAAAAATTTTCCATCAATCTTTTTCATTATTTTTCTCATATGCCTAGCTAATTCATACTAGCCAACATCCAATGTTTTCAAGGAATTATTTATCACTCAGCTCGAACACAGATGGTTCCATATCTTCGAATCGATGCTGAATTTTTACAAAAATTAATTCTAAGCATAACTTTCGAGCTCAAACTTTCTTTTCCGTTATATTCTATTTTAATTGTCGCGAAGATAGAAACGATCCCACAAACCAAGGGTCGCAAATGATCCGTCTTAGAAAATAACATTGAGCTTAATTAAACAGGTTAATACTTGTTTATGATTATTTGAACATGAATACGAATTCAATTGCCACGAGATTGTATCGTACAAGATATACTTTGATAATTACCATCGATAATTATAACTTGGTAATTATGATAATTACAGACGAGCTATATGAATCTTATGCAACGTTATATTTCTGGATGTTCACAGATAATATTAGTTTAACAATACTATTGCTACTTAAATATTATTAGATACTTTCAGTATTTCTCTTTGAATTTATAATTAGCAAAACAATTTTGTCGTTTGCTATTAATTTGTTAAACAAGAATGTTTATTTATATTTCAAATTAGTCAAACTTATTCCATATTTTAGATTGGTCAAACTTATTATTTTACGGATTATCTGTTCCCTTTTTAACAAATTACTTAAATTCAATACAAGTGTAAATCGTGACTCGTGTGACAAATGTATAAAACAGTACTGATTTACAATACACTGTAATGAGACCAGTCAGTAGTAGTCACCTCCCCGTGGTGGCTCTTGGTAATTGATATCGTTTTCCAAATTTTAATTTTTATAAAACGACATCAAGCTAAGAACTACGTATATAATCGTAATAAAGTGATAACATAATATATAATATATTATATTCGAATATTTTCGCGGGCCAGCGAACGTGCCCGAGGGCGAATCCTCGGCGGAATTCTCGGCAAATATTCAACCTCGAACGATCTTTGACGAGAGCTGATGATCGAAAACCACGGTCACGATGGTCGTTTCGATTTTCCAGATTTTTGTGTTCCCTGCGAAAAATGCTTGGACAGTTGGATAAGTTAGATCTCCTTCTTTGAGAGAAAAAGAGAAAGAGAGAGAGAGAGTTGTTGAAAGTAAATTTCCAGCGGACCTTCTCCGCTTCGTTTCCAATTCTTTCCTCTTCTTTCAACGTCGTTTGAATTCTGTTCTGGTCTATAATCTTCGCACTTTTTAGTCGCGAGATTTACTTCATACTACACTTTCCTCGTGCAATCCCTCTTGTTCTACGAAAATTGGAGAAAATGTGAGATTTCTTTTTATTACAGATATGTATTTCTTTTCTCGCACGGTGGATTTCTATGAAATAACGCCTGATAAATTAGAAATCAGTCTGAAAATACAAATCCGGAAAAATCCCGATAAAAAGTGAATATTACAAACCTCGTTTCACTCTGGGGTTTATAATGTATAATTTCGATCATCGTGTCGCGAACGAACACGGACCAGCTCGTTCCAAATTCCGTGGCCATCTCGTTCACACCAAGTTTCCGGGAGTTTGGCAAAGCAAAATGGATCAACTGGAAATCCGTAGTGGCGATATCGTTGGTCTAATTGTCGGTACTGCCCTGCTTGGCCCTCTTGACATGATATTCTAATTAACGATGATAAAAGCCTCTCTTTGCGGCCATTTAAATGTAGAACGGCCGCTGAAAAACTGAAGGATTTGAAAAATCCATAAAAAATAAAAAATCTTAATTACATAAAAATATATACACACATAATACTGAAAAAAATTATTATATTTCCAAATTATATATTGTATTATGTTATATTTATGTGTTATATATTATACGTATATGTCAATATTAACATTTTATTCGTCTGTGAAATAATGTTACATCTACATCGAAAATTATTGAAAATTAAATGTGAACGATTTCTTATTTGCATAGCTATTCTTATGAAAACGATCAATTTAATCTTTGACTGTAATATAAGTATTTTCTACATAAATTAGTGTTACAGACTTATAAATTGGCATTTAGTATATCTTGACTGTAATGTAAGTATTTTCTACATAAATTAGTATTACATGTCACAGACTTTGATCAATTGAGTATAAATTTAGTACGTCTCAACAATAATTATAAGTTAAAGACTAACCGTGCGAAACGTAGTTTCACTTTGTAAAAAAATATAGAAATTACAGTATTTATTGTTGCCTTCAGTTAATGGAAGCAACTATGAAACAATAAAAAGAGGCAACAAGACAGAAAAAGGCTATGAAAAACAAAAATTACTGACTACTGAATAGAAAAAGTTGTTTGGAAAGCGTTGACAAAGATTACCACTTGCTGTGCATCACTGACTTTACCTGAAGGTCGAACAGGAAAAAGATCATAATAAGTTGAACCTTCATCGTGTGCACATCGATTAAACTTTCAAAGTGAATTTTTAAATAAAATTTCTGAATATTCTAATTGTTTAAACAATACCTAATGTTTCTAATAATTTACTTGCAACAATTAAACAATAAATTTTCTCTTAACTGATTAATAATTTAATAATAAGAATGTTGAACAACGTTACTTCAGAGAAATGACTTTGATTAATTTAATTGTTTAATCGTAATGTAAAAGTTGTGAAAATTATTAAATAATGTCTAGAAATATTGTAGAAATAATTCAATTGTTTCAAATGAATTATTCTTCAAACTGTAAAATAATTCATTTCGATGATATTTTTGTCTATTAACAATTTTAACTATTTACTTATTAACAAATGAATCAGTGATTGAATTACCAAACATTATTTCACAGTTTCAATAATTCATTTATAATAACTGAATTATTTTATTTGTAATAACGGAAAAGATAGTTACATAATACATATATTTCTTGCTGTCTGAAACAATAAACGAAAATTTTTATACGTCGCGTGATTATTCTGAAGCGAAGATCACTGTTTAACTTTTGACTGCATAAATTTCTATTTAATCACTGCAGTTATAACTTAAAAATTAATATCATGAAAATGTAAATTTAATTTTAGCCGATAGAAAATTAATTAAATTATTACATTTAACATTGTAACATATTCAGGAAAATGTAACCTTGCGATAGAAATGTAAAACCTAAACTAAAGTATTGATGAATATAATAGAAAAATTGTTTCTCAAAATATTAAAAAAAATTATCAACAGTTCCGGGTCACTGAACGATCGGAACATTAGATTAACCTTCAGCAGTACGGAGACTCATTATCAATTAAACTTCCGTCGTGTGCACATCGACCAAATTTTACAAATTTGAAAAAAAAGTGTCAACATTTCCGGGTCACTGACAATCGAAACATTAAATTAACCTTCAGTGGTACGGAGACTCATTATCAATTGAACTTCCGTCGTGTGCACATCGATCAAAATTTAGGGGTGAGTTTTTAAATAATATTTCTGAATATTCTACTTGTT